GATGTATCCAAGAAGTAGTGCAAGTTGACACAGACCGATTCATCAGCGCTGAACAGTGAAGATACCATACGAGGAGCTGAAATGAACAGTATAATGGTTTGTTAATTTATATTGAAAAATAGGCTATTTGTAGTTAATGAATACCTTAGTCGGTAATATTATGGGGGGTATAATTTGGTCCTTTTTGGGCCAAAGAACCATATTTATAAATATAACAGTCCATATTTTTACCCCCCATAATTTAACCCCCCGAGTCAAATTTTGGTATTCCTTTTGGTATAACAGTCATAATTGATAATATGCTTAACGTTTCTTTCATTGATCACGTCCAGAAGTATGCTTACGTTATTGTTTGCTGAATTGAAGCTATAGTTCTGGTTCGAAAAGTCCGATTTGTCTACTATTCCCCCATCCTTTCAATCTGAGGGGTTTACTAGGGACAATTTCAATTTAAATTTCAGATCAGCAACTTCAGATGAATAATACAAGTTCATGTGGTTATAATTGCGAACAAAATTTGACCAATATTTTCGATTTGAGATTTTTTCACGAAAGCAAAATCGTAATTAAAATTGTGGGGGTCAAATTTGGTTCTTTTTTGGCCATAGAACCAAATTTATAACAGTCCATATTTTTAACACCCATAATATTACCGACTAAGGTAATCATGTAAGACACAGGAGCTGCTGGAAAAGTAATCTACAAAGGTGGACCAAAATGCACTTAGTATAGTACAACCTAGGTCTGAATATTTATTGAAGATTCCACGAGAGCGTACCTACTGCTCTCGAAACATGATCATACCTGGTTAGCCAGGGGAACCGAGCTAGTACTTACCTCCATCATGTCCTCCTTCAGGTCTCATCAGGGTCTCGGACTCGTAACGTTCCACTAATATAGTGACACCCAACATCAGTGAACCGGTGTGTTAGTTACCCCGCGGTAATATACGTGGAGTCACAAAGACTCTTGTTAACACTTTCAATGATAATTATAGCTCAGGACCGTTCCTGGCTAGTGACTCTTTAGATCACATACTTATGCTTTCAAGGCTATCGAAATACGCTTATTTAAGGGGTCAGAATGGCGCTTCTGACATCAAGGTAAATATACTATATAATATAGAGTATTGGATACAGACAATAGTTCACGATAGGATATAAATTTAACACGTTGTAATCTATAAGCCTCTCTAGGAGTACTCACCCAGTAGTCGACCCTCAGAACAGGTAAATATAAGAATAAAAAAAGAAAATAGCATCTGCCTCTTAATTACTTTCCTAGTATAAATATAATCGTCACCACTTTGCAGTCCTTCGGAATGCGATGAGCTTCAGCATTGGTCGCCGCCGACGGCTCGTTCATCAGATCTACCACAACGATTTACGAGTGCATCTGAGAATTTGTTGGCGACCTTCTTCAGTATTCGGGCTGCGACTTCCTCCGGTCGCATTTCTACGCCGCTTGAACCCACGAAGTTCGTTCCGTCCATGTCGTGTGGATACCCGAAATTCTCGAGGACGTCTTGACACAACGCGGCGGACAGACCCATGAACTTCTTCAACTCTCGGATTAAGTCTGCTGCGTTGGTCGCTTGATTTTGTCCCACTTCTTCGGTGGCGAGGTCGAAAGTCGATTTCGTCGTTGCTCCGAGGAAAATCCCACCAAGGGTCAAATTCAATCGTCTCCTCGTCGTCGGTGTCCTCTTCCAATATGATCGGTTGTTTCGGCGCCTCCCCCTCCGTCTGGGTGGCGACCTCCACCGTATTTGGTCCCATTAAGGGAACTTTCCTTATCAGGGCGAACAGGGCGCTCATCTCCTCCTGGCGTCGGTGCGGGAAGTACAGCATAGATCGGGCGGCCCGAATCGCTGTCGCTTGGATGTGTAAGGACCACTCCTCAGGGAGCGCCGTTTCGTCCAGGACTTGCTTGGTCGCTACCAATATCCTCTCATAGGCATCGAGGGGATCAGCCATGCCCGATAACAATATATTCAGGGGAAGTATTCTTTTGACCAGCGACTGGATCAGCTCGACACATTGCTTTTCATTTAGCAGCGTCTTCGGCGTCATGGTATTCATTCTTTGGCCGAGTTGTTCCACCATTTCCCGAAAGCGAGGTAACGGGATTATGAGACTGTGATTGATTTCCTTCATTGTTGGTAACATGACTTATATACTAGGAGGGAGAGGAACAATTAGTCATTACCTTATAATTATTAGATCACGAAGCTTCAGTTTCCAACAATCACAGCAAATTATTAGGTAAAAGATTTCATAAAATTTACGATAAAATCATGTTGGTTTTGGTTTATTAAGATGCAGAGCAGGGCAAAATTACTTACTATAGAACATAAATATAATAGAGTAACCCACGAAAAACCGGCCACTATCAAACAATTTTTGAGCTCATTGTTTCAATATATATATATATATTTTAAATTTTAATGTAAACGATCAAAATATAGGCACTTGCCGACGTAAAATTCGCAAAAACATTATTTACACTGACGGTATCAAAACAGGGCAAGTTTCCATTCGGTACACAATATGTTTACAAGTACAAACCCGGCCTAAATATTTAAAAAAAATTCAGCTTACAGGTTATACCATCAAAAGGAGTAACCCAGAGAGCTCGAGATCACAGTCTAATCATGGACAATTAATATTAGAGTTAAAGACCATTCGAGGTTATTAATCAAGTTTTCGTGTACACAGCGATCGCCCTTAGCAATTAAGATAATGTAACCTGAACCATTCTCAGTGTCGACACTGAGAATGGTTCAGGTTACACTATGTTAATTGCTAAGGTTCGCTATTTACTGCTAGATTCACATATTCGCTCCCACAATTCGCAATTACTGGTGTTTCTCTACTCCGAGCTGCAATGTCACGTGACGGTACTCTACTCAAACGGACGGTCCTAATGGCTGTTGTACATCACGTGTTCAAGCCCTGCTCAGGGTTTATCGCACAGTGGTTCTCCGTTATTTTCAGGTGATCAATATTGGTGGGAATCCGTGGTCTCAATGGCTTCTCATCTCTTGTCTCACATGAGACAATTGTGCACTTGACCTCTCTATCATGACGTGATTTACAATGGTGGGAACTGGGAATGACTCTGTACCCAAGGGGTTCGATACGGCGCATGCAGCGACAGTTTGCTCGAAAAGTGCAAAAGTCCGTAAAGGCGTCAAGAGTGATGTCACTTAAATTAACTGTACTTAGAGAAAATTCACGGTGTTATCTTGAATGTCTGATTGGTGATTAATTAAGTTTCGTGTTAATTAAATTCACGGTGCTATCTTGAATGTCTGAGACAAGTGAGATTCAAATCATAACGGTAATGGATAAGAACGTGGTTATGTGACGTGATACCTTAACCAATACTTTACCCACAAGACCCAACATTAATGAAGCGTGGTGGTTAACAACTAACTCCCCTGGAAGAGCTGTATCTTCAACCGGTTGATAGGGGTCGCTATAAGAGGCGGCTGTGAATTTCATCGGGCAGATATGTTATTATCACTCACGGTAGTGACGTCAACAAGCAACCCGGTGTGGTTACCCTACACTGGCATCTTGCTCTTCTGCCATCTGGGGTTTCTTACATGGTAATCCTCCTTATTGTCGCTTGATTAAACAATAAAATCGGGGGTGAGATAAATATTAGTCTCACAGACTAGTAATATTGTTAAGCAGCGATCCCGCACCTTAAATCATCATCGCATACCCTCTCTACGTACAGTAACACACGTCACGTACAGTAAACACGCACGTGTGACGTCACGTAGTATACGTCAAAGGCGAAAGGAGAACCTGAAATACAAAAACCTGAAATATCTTTAAACCCTCGCTGTAAGCTGTTAGGGTTACAAACTATTCTACTATTATGATAAGTAATTACTAAATCTAATGATGGTGACTTGTTTACATAATGTAGATATTATAGACTAATGGAATGACTGTAGGAAGCACAATCACTTCGCTGATACGTTCCCTTTGGAGCTCTACTCTCTCACTGTACAATCGTACACTCAAAGACTGTTATACTAGTCTTTATTTTATTGTATTTTTAGAAAACGTTTCATTCGAAAACTTATTAGACTGGCGACTGGTCATTAGTTAAGATTATCATTTCAACAGTCAACAGGAATCATGCTGCCAACAGCTTACAACTGGACCATGATCTTCAACTTTCACATATTTCACATATTTCATTAATTGGTGAGCCTTCGTTGTATCAGTCTAACAACTTAACAAGCCAACACTCACGACATTAATCTCATAATATTAGCGGGCCCTGGTCTAGATTACTGATCAAATCTCCCTTTTCCGTTTTCATCTCTCAGTACTTGTAGCTGTCACGTTTTGAATCCCAGTTATATATAATTGCTCAATTGTGTGCAGGTATTATTCTACATATCTCGGCTACAAAGCTATTGTTAAATCCCCTTGGGTAACTTCACCGATGAAGTCTTTTATACATGTTTATATCAAAACCTCAGCATCTCCCTTTGTTATAGCGTAGTTTGCGTTTTGTCTCTGTATGTCTAGTGTCTACACACATCCTGGTGTGATAGTTGCTAAGTTGCTTGTTGATACATGATGTAATGGAACCACATGTACAATAACATAATGACATTTAACGAGGCTTAAAGGACGATTTACATGATTGGGTTGCACGTGCAAATTGCATCTTAACTTTAACAGCTGAGCATTGTCAATAGTAATTGCATACCAATGTTGCGTGAGTAGTTGCCCGGAGAGTTGAGGATGTTTCATGACCTTGGGAGTTGGGATCACTATGATTGCTTTTCAAACCAGATTTCCTCTTATCTAATTGCAAGAGCTTTTTTTTAAATATTTGCGTACGTCACCTTCTTCGTGTCGCTCTATCTCAAGACCTTATCGATTCATTTTCATGGATTTTATGAAGACATACATACACTTCAATCCACTTCATGAAGAAATTATTGTTAATTCACTGTTTGTTTATGTAGGTTTAATCTCACACTAAATACCTGTTAAGGTTGAAAGATAGTCTGCAGCAGTGTGATGTTACCATTACTGTTATCTGTACTCTTCCTTCACTCAGTATCTGCTAAACAGGTTAGTCTCCCAAGTCCCAACTATACGTTAACGGATGATACTTGAAATGAAATGAAATGAAATAATGTGCTTATATCCCGCCCATATGGTTAGCTGCCGGCACAAGTTCCAGCTACTAACCAAAACAAGGCTGAAAAGGCTCGTGAGCGCATCAGGAAAACCCACCAAAAGAAAATTCAGTTTCATCTCAACAAACAGGGAACAGAAGCCAACCCTCCTTCTTCAAATTCCAAACGCAAGAAGTGGAGAAAAGCATCTGCCGAAAAGAAGAAGGCCGGGCGCAAACGCTACCAGAAAAACAAGCAGAACCGGAAAAAGTTATGGTTGGAACAGAGAGTCAAGGAGATATCGTCCACAGTTGTGAGAAATCTGTCCCATGTAGAAGTCCCCGATATAGCATTTTTGTATCTGGCCAAAGGCTTGAACTTTGTGGAAAGTAAAAAGGCAAGTAAGGAAGACCTTCAGTATGACACCAAAGAGTTCTTACGTAAAGTTTCATGGAAGGCGTTCTTTCATGATAACCCAACTGAGAACAATAGTTTCAACGAAGACGAACATCCTGGCTTAAGGATACCTTCAAGAAGGCATCCTGAGTACAGCAACCCGCTCTTTGATGAAATAAAAACAAAACTGATGGGTTTCGTAAACAGCTTCATGCCTGCTGACCCGAAGTCTAACCTGACACCAGCAGAGAGGAGAGGGAAGAGATGGATTTTGAAAAATATAGAAGATGAGAACATCTTTGTCACCAAAGCTGACAAAGGAGGATCTACCTTGATTCTTGACTATAAGGAAGCTGTGGAATGTGTTCAAAGGAGCTTAGGAGATAGAGAGAACTTTGCTCATTCCCAAATGTCAGTTGAAGAGAAAATGACAGATGTGAAGAATAATGTTAAGGATGCAGTTCTTCTGGCTTTATCAGAGGGGAAAATCACAGAAAAAGACAAGAAACTCATTACTGGACTTAATGAAAATAATAACCAAATGCATGCACATGTATTCAAACCAGTAGTCCCTTATGTGTACCCTCTATTTAAGCTGCATAAATTAAGTCCACAACAGATTGAGGGGAAAATAGTTCCCCCTACCAGGCTTGTCCATGCCACTAAGGAAGGCCCCCTCTACAGGCTTGAAAAGTGGGTTAGCCCATACCTAACAGATGTAAGTAGGATTTATTGCCAACAGGAGTTTCTCCTGGATACACCAGACCTTCTCAGTAACATAAAAAACCTTAATGAATCGGCAGATATGTCAAAATATAGCACCATCAACTTGTTTACTTTAGACGTGATCAGTCTGTATCCAAGCATAAAACCTGAAATAGCTATGTCTGCATTGGAACATGCCCTGAACGGTAGTACTATGATTGATAAACGAAAGGCTATCCTGAAAACATTCACGGAGATTATCTTCACAAACTCCTTTGTCACTTTCCAAGAAAATGTGTACACAGGCAAAAAGGGTATCCCAACTGGAAATTGTATTTCGCGTCAAGTCGCTGATATCATGCTTCATTGGGTGCTATTCATCAACATCTGGCCTGAAATGATACAGCTATGGAGTCTTATTTTATTCTGGCGACGCTTCATCGACGATGTCTTTGGAATTTGGAAGGGCTCCAGGAGGCAATTTGATCTTTTTGTGTCGAAACTAAATGAAGCCGCAAAACGATTTGGAATCCAGTTCGGTGATTGTCAGTTTGGCAAATCAGTTAACTACTTGGATGTAGAACTCTCCCTGGGGGAGAACAACAACATCGACTACAGACTATTTAAGAAAGAGACTGATGCCAGGCTTTACCTTAATACTGATAGTTTCCACCCAAACCACGTCTTTAAATCAGTAGTATTCTCACAGATGATCCGAGTGATCAAGCGAAATTCGCAGGATCACACATGTGTGGAGGACCTGGAGGAACTTAAAGAAGACCTAATGAAAAGTGGACACAAGGAGGGGACCTTAACGGAAACAGAGCCTGAAGCAGTCTTGAGATCAATAGAACACGATTTGTATGAGAGGGAAGATAAGAAGCCAATCACTGACAAAGTTGTCTTTTCAGTGAAATTTTTCAAAGAGGTCACTGAACTTAGGAAGTTGGTACACTCTACTAGTGAGGACATCAAACAATTATGCGGAGACGTACAGATATTGTTTGCACTACGTAAACAGCCATCTATAGGCAACACAGTAGTGCGCAATAGAAAACTCAGTTCGTGCTCCGAAACGGATTCTTTCACCGTCAGCCAAAACTGTGGCGGGAGAGGCTGTGCAACCTGTCCCCAACTGTTCAACTCCAACGAAGTTATCACTGTCAATGGTTTGGATTTAACTCTGGATTTCCGGTTGACATGTAAGGACAGCAATATAATTTATGTCGCCCAATGCCAAATTTGTAATAAACTTCCCCAGAGCCTAAAAGACGATACCTATTTCGGCCAAACGGTTTCTCCATTTCATATCAGAATGAACGGACACAGAAACAAGTTTAAAATTGATAATGAATTGTCATTTGAGAAGTCGGCACTTTCCATGCATTGTTTTCTAGCGCATAAATCTGATTTCACTATGGGAGTTTTTAAATTAGGTGTAGTAAGAAAAGTCCGACCAACAGCACTTGATAGAGAAGAGAGCATTCTTATTTCAAAATTTAGAACTAATATTTTTGGGTTAAATAGGATTGTAGTTACTCGCTGAATAATCTGTTATGCTCTGTTGTCCATTCTACCTAGCACATTGAGCTCTTTAATAAAGTTTCAGATTAAAATCTGTTTTAAATTTTCAAGTTGTTAACTTTTAAATTGCTTTCATTAGTCTAACCTAATTTTATTTTTATAGGCTAGTGATGTAAATATACGAAGAATTCACCTATATTTGTGCTGTCTTACTATGTGTCCAAACCAAATTGAGCTACTAACCATGTCAGAGCGGCTCTAAAGGGTGAGTGAAAAAGACAAGCGTGAAAATGAATATGACAATGTCGTAAATAATTTAAATTAGTGTAGGATCTTGTCCTCACAACAAATAATACCACTTCTGATATAATAGCGTCTATTCAAATCGTCCTTTGCCTTCTGTTTCATTTCCAATACCAGCAGATGGTGTTTGGTTTGCTCCTCAGGTGAGCGATCCGGAGAAATGAAAACTGTTTTGTGGTGCTGACTCAGTTTCAGTTTTTTCGATTTCAATAATATCTCGTGGACATTGTTGGTATTTGAGACCGATATTTTGACAGGTCTGGTCTTGTCGGCTAATCTCCTTCCAATCCTGACAGCTTCATAGCGTGGTTTTACTTCGATTTGTTCAAACAGTTCGTCTACTTTATCGGATAGTTTCTCATCATCTGTCTCCATTAAACCAAACACGACCAAATTCCTACTGCGGTCCTCTTTCGATACAGCACTCTGAACTACCTTTTTCAAACTCTGTTCTGTCAGTGCAGTTTCCGGCGGGACCTTCGAAACAGCTTTACTGTATGACCTGATCTCAGCTTGTACACTTTCCTGAACGGCAGATTTAACGGTGGTCTGAACAGATTCCAACTGCTTTAATTTGCCCTCAAGAAGTTCACTCTGCAGTTTAATCACCGAATTTTGAGATCGAATAAGAAAGTTCTTCAACTCCTCCACATCTTCTTTCATTTTGACAGCTTCTCCTACAAATTGTTTCATATGCCTGTACACACTGTACAATAAATTTGATATAACTTTCTTAGTCGGTTTCCCTGGTTTTTCAAATTGTTCTGCTGAGAACTCTGATTCATCACAGTTTGAGGCTTCTTCAAGTTCTGTAATCCAAGACTGGAAATCCTGATGCGTTTCAGTCAAATACACAGAGCGAGCTGACACACGTGTTCTAATAATTCCATATCGTCCATGATGTACTTAACTAATAATTGTATTACAAGGCTACACGGTGAGCGCAGTGTAATTAAACGATTTTACTGATAAGAGAGCAACAGTTATCAACACACAAGCTAAAAGATTATACGATCTATACGATGATACTTGTAAAATATTTGTTCCAAGACCGTCGACGAGTCCAACCCGGCGCGCGTTTTGGTAGGTTATATAGGTACTGTTATAAACCTGGCACGCCAATATAAACATAGTACAAAACCGTACGTAGATCAAAGTACGGTACTTAAGTCTTTAAGTTATTCAACGAAATCTTGAGTGGAATACTAAATGTAAGTAAATAATGATAGACAAGATAGTTTCTCAAACTAACTTAATTTACAAAGCTAGAGTTGATAGTCCTAATCAGAATCAAAACCACGTTTAATGTATTATTATTATTATTATAAAACAAGATCTTACAGACAAAAATGATTCTTAAAAATACCTTAATGCGGTAAACTGTACATACCCTTGAAAAACATTTTCCCAACATCTGTTGCATGCAGCTATGTTTCTAATTTCGTTCAATTCATGCAAGTTGTCCATTTGCAAATTTCTACTACTTAAATCACTTCTTAAAACCGATAACAAGTTCATTCTAGGTCTCCCCAATCTACCAATAATAAATTATCTGATTCAATAGCAAAAGAGAGAGCCGTTTCGGCTGGGGTGTTCTCCATACTCCTGAGAATGTGTCCAAACATCTTCCACCGCTGGTGTAGTAATCAATACACTTGGATAACTTTTCAAATTTGCACCTTTCATACAATGCTTTGTTGCTTATCGACAATCGACATACCTTTAGGCCATTTGATGTTTAAAATGGACCTGAGGTGTCTACGATAGAGTGTGTCCATTTTCTCTATGGTTGCTTTCTTTGGACTCCAACTATTTGAGTTGTAAATCAATACAGATGCAACTTGAGCATCATATAACCTCAGCTTTCTTTTAAGGGAAATTTTCTTACCGGACAACCATACTTTTCCAAAGTTCTTAAAAGCAATGTCAGCTAGGATTCTCCTTCTTTGAATGTCCTTCTCAGTACAGAGTAAGGAACCTAGTGACTTTACTATATTGATACAAAGAAAACTCCATTTACGGACGTGAGGAGATTTAGGACTCCTCCATAAATACATTAAATACATTCCTTCTGTAATGTCCTCAATAAATGTACCTTATCGGACCTTATTTGGACAGACATTAATTGAACGCTGGAGGCCTTAACGTTCATCTTAATGTCCGTTTAAATAAAGTCCTTTCATTTAAGGTCCGTCTAAATTAAAGTCCGTTGAATTTTTTTCAAAAATTCGAACTTTTTGTCCAGAATATGACAACTATGAGAACTTAATTGTGCCGTAAGTTAACGATCACGGAAAGGTTCTCCTTGGTCTGCCGGAGGCACAGAAAACTCTAATTGTATATGATGTTTTCAAGGGGCACTTTGCGGAAAAAGTCAATGAAATTATGGCACTCAACAACATAGTTCATGAGCTAGTCCCCGCCAACATTACAAACTTGTTCCAGCCTCTACATATATTACGGTAAATCGTGTTGCCAAGGATATTGTCTATTAGACGAGACTAAAGAGTTTCTCCAATATAAAATTGATTTATAGATTGCAACGGCCCTAAAGCGCTTGGTACATAGACTTTAATTTAATTTTAAGTTTATAAAATTATCTGAACCAGTGAACCCGGGAATTCAAAACTGCAAAATCTTGCATTTCCAGGAAATTATATTACCACATTCCACAATGATATCAAAGTTCAGACTACGCAATATGTAATTCAACGAAAATAAATCCCATGGAAAAAGCGCTCTTGATGAATCGCTAATTAGAGCGGGAACTGGAAAAAGGACAGTCAAGCAAAACCCTTGCAAATCTGATCGAAGATATTCCCTCTAAGAGTTACTCCCAAGCTCCCACACTGTAAAACACTAAATCATGTCGAGTCCTAAATAATGGTGATCAGTGCAGACCAAACAGCAAAGCCAAAAAAAAAGAAAAGGGGGGACCCCAAACCCATGGCCATACATGTAGGCGTAGCTGAGACACCTCACAGCAAGTAGACCAAAGTGGCTCTTGCTTGTGAAAGGTGTATCAACTCCCCGCTTGGTTCAGCTAGGCCTGATGGAGTTCTTTTCCAATTATTCAATTATATTTATACAGTTATATATAGTATAGCCTTCTGAAGCAGCCCACAAGTGAGCCAGAAAGGAGGTTAACTTATTTTATTCCAGCTGTTGTGAGCCTAATGATCATTATGAAAGTCTGGAAATAGAGATCAAGAGTCTAGCTGACTCATTGAAACTGAAAAGACGTTGAAACTGGGATAAAAAACATTACACGAACGCCCAAAAAGATGAACCAATTGATATGAGCAACGTTTAAAGTTGAACAGCGTTTTAACGTTGTATTTAATTTTGGATTGTGAATGAAAAGTTCTTAAACGTTTTAATTTTATAGGCCACCGTTGGTTAATTTTAAAGGTTAATTTTTTAACGTTGAACTATTTCATGCACGAAAACCCATTTGATGAAGATGATATGCGATATTAAACACTGATCATGTACACTTCTTTAACATTTTTACTGCTAAAAATCATTTTCTGAAATTAAAAAAACGTTTTAAAAAATGAAAAAAATTCGGATTTTTGATGGGTTTGAGTGCCTTCTAGCGTTCATATTAATGTCCGTTCATAATTATGTCCGTTTATGTAATGTCCGTCCAAATATTAATAAGGTCCGATAAGGTAATAGATTTGTAGTGTTGTAATTAGTTTAAAACTGACTACCGATCAGTGATCAATGTCTCAGCGACTCCTCCTTATACTCACAAAATCCTTACCTACTTACCTATAACTCTATTACCCCTGCAGGACTGTATTCCCGACCAGTGGGAGGACTGGAGTTCCTGTACAACAACTTGCGGTGCTACCGGTACACGGCAGCGGAGTAGGCAAGTGCTTCAATACGTCTAGATCACGTAGTTTAAGTGCCAGCTTTTCGCGGTTGAGGCGTTAGACTTTTAAGTCCTAGTTTGATCGTATTAATTGACGATGCCATTCTCATTAGGTTCAGTTCTTGGTGCTTTAGTAAATTTAGTTTAGTAATGATGAGTGCAACTTGTTGAATTGCTCCTCATGTGTATCATGTGATACAAGTATATAATCGTGGTAGATACTGACAAGTAAATTTCAGGAAAATAGCAATATTACCCACTGTTGACGGTGTACAGTGTAGTTCCCTGGACTTTCTGGAAGTAGAGGGGTGTAACAGGTATCTGAGAGATTTACTTCAAGATTTCTAAAGTTTCAGCTTCTTTTGATTCCATCAGCTGCCTTGTTATTCGGCTGAATGAACGACAAATAGATATTTGTTTTGGCAAATTACAATGATCACGAAACAAAGCGTTGTGTTTAGTTACGTAAACCAAAATTTGTCTTTAAATACTCGATTTTCTTCTACAATTTATTTCCCATGACAATAACCGAGCGCATGGTGTATTAAGTTTTCCAATCACAACCACACAATCTTATTGCTTGTAAAATAACGCGGTATTCAAAAAAATTTACGAATAATTCTTCCCCACGTATATTTATCCACAAAAGTATCACATCAAGTGCAGCGACTCTCTTATTGTTATTTACCTTATCGGACTTTAATTTGGACGGACCTTAAATGAACGGACTTTATTTAAACGGACATTAAGATGAACGTTAGGGTCTCCAGCGTTCAATTAATGTCCGTCCAAATAAGGTTCGATAAGGTAGTTCTAGTTGAACAGTGCAGCAGTACATCTGAACACAATAACACAGCTCCCTTTAATTCCAGGTTTTGCGAGAACGGCGGTATCCTACAATCCACAATGTGTCAGTGTCTCCAGGGGTACTCCGGTTCATGCTGCGAGCTGGGTAAGTGTCAGTTTAAACTCTAAAAGAGCTGGGTAAGTGTCAGTTTAAACTCTAAAAGAGCTGGGTAGTGGGTTAATTTCAGTTTAAAATCTAAAAGTCTCAACTCTTCAGCATAATTTCATTAAAGGCTATTACCTTTTTGCTATACACTATAATACAGTTATAATCTGTAGTTGTACTGTATTCTAGAATTTAAAGTCGGTATCGGAGATTTCAAATGATCAACAAATAATTTAAAAAGTGTTCACCTATATTCAGATGTCGATGAATGCGCTAATGCTAATGGTGGCTGTCAACATAAGTGTGTTAACGAGATTGGATCCTTCAAATGCGAGTGTTTCGCCGGATTCGAACTGAACGACATGAACGTTTGTAAAGGTAAAGTTTGTTTTTAGTTTTAGCATCTTCTTCAGAATCATAAGCTCATAATCTGGCTGTTACTATGGTGAGAGAAATATGTTTTACACAAGTGGCCCGTTTTAAGCAAGGGTTTAAAGGTGTATACCTTCAGATATTGACGAGTGTAGTGTGGGTAATGGCGGTTGTGACAATTTATGTATGAACTACTACGGTAGCCATGTTTGTGGTTGCATACCTCCTAAAATATTGGAGATGGACGGACGGTCATGTTCATGTAAGTTCCTTATCGTTATAAATCTCGTTACTTGTGCTACTCTATTTATCTCAACTATATTTAAAATAAAATATTCATTATTCGTGCATCTGATGTGGAATATTCTGAATTCGCACGATTTTCATTCCACTCTATACTAAAAATAACCTCTCTCTTTCTCCACAGATATGATATAACTAATGCCTGCTAAATTAATTAATTAATGTTAAAGATGTACATTTATATTTACTGTCAGGATACATTTTGTAAATCAATTGTGTTATAATTTGTTTGTAATTGATTCATTTTAAAGATTTCAATAAAAACCTCGCTCTCTCTTTCCAGCGGAGAACCACTGTGTCACCGACCCGGACGCTGTTCACTGTGAACACGGGTGTGTCATCCACAACAACCAGTTTAAGTGTGAATGCCCTGAGGGCTTCACGCTTAACGAGTCTAATTTCGAGTGTGACGGTAAATAATTATAAATGATTATTATGATAGTTATTATTATTTCCTTGAGTACCTGCATAGTTATTGTATATTATTATAACGATAACTTAATTGTGATAAATTTAGCTTTATTTTCTCCATTGATAGTTTGATGGTCAGCCATGAATTTTATGATAACCCAACCGAGATATTGATGAATGTCAGAGTAACCCCATGTTCTTGTTTCAGATATTGATGAATGTCAGAGTAACCCCATGTTCTTGTTTCAGATATTGATGAATGTCAGAGTAACCCAATTTTCTTGTTTCAGATATTGATGAGTGTCAGAGTAACCCCATGTTCTTGTTTCAGATATTGATCAATGTCAGAGTAACCCCATGTTCTTGTTTCAGATATTGATCAATGTCAGAGTAACCCCATGTTCTTGTTTCAGATATTGATGAATGTCAGAGTAACCCAATTTTCTTGTTTCAGATATTGATGAGTGTCAGAGTAACCCCATGTTCTTGTTTCAGATATTGATGAATGTCAGAGTAACCCCATGTTCTTGTTTCAGATATTGATGAATGTCAGAGTAACCCAATTTTCTTGTTTCAGATATTGATCAGTGTCAGAGTAACCCCATGTTCTTGTTTCAGATATTGATCAATGTCAGAGTAACCCCATGTTCTTGTTTCAGATATTGATGAATGTCAGAGTAACCCCATGTTCTTGTTTCAGATATTGATGAATGTCAGAGTAACCCCATGTTCTTGTTTCAGATATTGATGAATGTCAGAGTAACCCAATTTTCTTGTTTCAGATATTGATGAGTGTCAGAGTAACCCCATGTTCTTGTTTCAGATATTGATCAATGTCAGAGTAACCCCATGTTCTTGTTTCAGATATTGATCAATGTCAGAGTAACCCCATGTTCTTGTTTCAGATATTGATGAATGTCAGAGTAACCCAATTTTCTTGTTTCAGATATTGATGAGTGTCAGAGTAACCCCATGTTCTTGTTTCAGATATTGATGAATGTCAGAGTAACCCCATGTTCTTGTTTCAGATATTGATGAATGTCAGAGTAACCCAATTTTCTTGTTTCAGATATTGATCAGTGTCAGAGTAACCCCGTGTTCTTGTTTCAGATATTGATCAATGTCAGAGTAACCCCATGTTCTTGTTTCAGATATTGATCAATGTCAGAGTAACCCAATTTTCTTGTTTCAGATATTGATGAGTGTCAGAGTAACCCCATGTTCTTGTTTCAGATATTGATCAATGTCAGAGTAACCCCATGTTCTTGTTTCAGATATTGATGAGTGTCAGAGTAACCCCATGTTCTTGTTTCAGATATTGATGAATGTCAGAGTAACCCAATTTTCTTGTTTCAGATATTGATGAGTGTCAGAGTAACCCCATGTTCTTGTTTCAGATATTGATGAATGTCAGAGTAACCCAATTTTCTTGTTTCAGATATTGATGAGTGTCAGAGTAACCCCATGTTCTTGTTTCAGATATTGATGAATGTCAGAGTAACCTCATGTTCTTGTTTCAGATATTGATGAATGTCAGAGTAACCCCATGTTCTTGTTTCAGATATTGATGAATGTCAGAGTAACCCCATGTTCTTGTTTCAGATATTGATGAATGTCAGAGTAACCCCATGTTCTGTGCTGGGGGTACGTGTATTAGTGGGCGGGGCCCTAACAAGGCTCTTTGTAACTGTGGTATTGGTAGAGGACTAGACTCAGATGGAGAAAAGTGCATTGGTTAGTGTTTTATTATCAGTTTCAGTTAGTTGGTTAGTGTTTTATTATCAGTTTCAGTCACAATATTGGCTAGTGTTTTATTATCAGCTTCAGTCACAATATTAGTTAGTGTTTTATTATCAGTTTCAGTCACAATATTGGTTAGTGTTTTATTATCAGTTTCAGTCACAATATTAGTTAGTGTTTTATTATCAGTTTCAGCCACAATTATTATATCTTCATTTTTTGACTCCATTATAATACGAGTCTATAATGTAAGTGTATCAAATTGGAGGGTTGCTATGTTTTGAAACTAGGATCTTACAGATTTCAGCACATATCTATAACCCATCTAACTCGGCAGATGTTGACGAATGTAAGGCAGGGATCAGCCAGTGTAGTCACACGTGTGTAAATAAGAATGCTGGTCACGTGTGTCTCTGCCCGGCTGGTATGATCATTGGAAAAGACCATAAAACTTGTGAAGGTTAGTAGGACAGCCTGCTAGGTATAGCACATTCGAATGGCTGGCGCGCGCTACTGCAAGCGCGAGGGCCCTGGTTAGAGCAAAGTAGCACATTGGATCTTATCTTAGATTGTTTTTAATTTGTAAACTTGCTCTTGAAAATTTTTGTCGTTTGCAGGAGACAGACGATTTTGTAATCTGATGTATATCCTCAAGAATACTAAGCAAAACTAATAATGATATCGATTTTATATTATTCTAAACAAATAATTGTTTTATTAAATAATCGATTTATTTAAATTAAAAGAAAAAATTAAAGAATATGTACTGTTCAGATGAGAATGAGTGTCTGAGGGACCCACCGCCCTGTTCCCACTCTTGCCATGACCTGACAGGGAGCTATGCGTGCGCCTGTCCGGCTAATATGGAACTGGAACATGATAACAGAACTTGCTGTGAGTTAACATAATATAGTACACTAAAACAATACATCATTTTCTGCATTAAATATCAGTGATACGAAACAATTTATCAATTAACGAACTTATATATTAATCAATTAGTTAAAACAGTTAATTACTATAACTGAAACAATTTAGCTGCTCAGCTGTGTCCAAAGAAGTTTCTTCATTAAAGCATTATCTTACTAACCAGTTTGTCTATAACCACGCTATTCCAGACCCCCTTACCGTCCTTATCTCAGGTGAGATAGGAAAGTGTATAAGACCCCTATCTGCTGAGGGTAAGACCACCACGTCACAGAAACTAGTTATCGCGGTGTCCGTGCTGGCAGTGGTGATTGTGGGTATTCTAGTGGTAGTAATCTGGAGAATGTTGAAGAGGAACCTCAGTACCAGTGAAAAGGTTTGTTGTTCATTAGATTTAAGGTTAATGTTTAGTTGGTGTTGTTAATATGGTGCAGGTTTCGGGCGTGCAAATCTCGGCTGGGTGCCACCATACCACGCCGATGGATTTACATGTCGGCGAGGTGTCTCGTCGAAATGTAAATTTAGGAAATTTGAGCGTTTCACCGATGCTTGCTATGCAAAAATTACCTCGACTTACTTGTAAAAGGAATAAAGAATGCTGGATCATGAATGTGCGAGTGCACAGTTTTACGTTTCGCTAAGTTTATAAATAGATTCGACCTCACGTTTCGAGACTGAAGCCCCAAAAATAGGACCAGCGTTCAACCCCACTTAATAAGTTAATACCACAGAAAGTTCTCGTACCCCGCTTTACCCTGTTCTCGTAGGTGCTAAAAGGTGTGACCATGGCCACATTTTACAATGACCAGGAACATGAGCCCCGAGCTGCTGCGCTGTATTCTGATTCAGCGTCCCATATTCTTGAGAGAAGAAACTCAGATCAGATCACAGTTCACAGATCAGCTCTGACTTCACAGAGTTGGGGGGATGAGGGTTCAGATCGTGTTATTTATAAGAAAACAGGTGGCTGAAGTTAGAACATGGTTGAGATGAGTCTGTTTGTTCCACTTTCCAGTTGATTTTTTAATCGGGTGCCAGTCTAATTTATTAAATAAACTCCCCAAGATGCAGGCCAACGATATTAAAGATCAGTTAAATTTCAATCACAACAATACTTTAACATTGGAGGTAAAAGTTTATTCAGTTCAATTATATTGCCAGCTAAAGGAGTTCTTACTTCTTCGCTAACGTACTGCTAGTTGATACGTATCTTAAACAATATTAAATTAGTCGTGCTGACTGATGAGGTGCCTCTCTAAATTCGGTAACTGCTTTTTTACCCTTTTAAAGTGTAATCTTACACTATAATCTTACCCTTTTTATTTTTCTATCTTACTATTTTCACTTTTTATCTTATGCTAGAGCTATCGCGTTTAGACTATCGCAAAAGAACCCATTTTAATTTTTCGCTATTGTTAATACTGAACCCACTCTTATACTCTGCTAAATTCTGATATCAGAGACCAACCAGTCACCAATTAGAAACAAATTAGCAACAACCAATTAGAAACAAATTAGCAACAACCAATTAGAAACAAATTAGCAACAACCAATTATTAACTTAAACTCTGTTACATTCTGACAAAATTTGCATTAAATCTAAAAGATAACAAACTCTGCTGACCTTGATAACTCTAAATTCAAAGCACTTTTATAGTGATCCATTATGATATAGCTAATTAGTAATTGGTACTAACTAATTAATCTCTCAGGTGCTAAGAGCAATAAAGCACGGTGAACCCAGCCCACCTGACGTTTTCTACAACCCTAACACAGAAAGTAAGTAAATTAAACTGCACCAGTAAGTCATGGTATTTAGCTTTCATTTTAAAAATAAAATAAACAAGTTGTGTTCTCCTCTGTGAAGTGCCTAGTGACAGTGTCTTGGTCTTACATGGTCTATTGGTCTTGCTTTCCTCTTAGAGACAGAGTGTATTAGACAAACAAAGAAGTTGGGTTCTCCTCTGTTTTATATGTGCCATCATTTAGATGAGCGTTGAGCATGCAAGTAACAATAAAAACCACGTGTATCACACCTCGGTAACTAAAACACTAACAGTGATATTCTAACCGATCAGTTTTCATTTTGGAATCATTTAACATTTTTTGTTTGATTACTGAGTTTGTAAATAATAATAAAAAATTCAGTTTTGATCTGACACATGTGTTAAATTATAAAGATCTTTCTAATTTTCTACTTTTCTACTTTTCTACTTTTCTAATTTTCTAATCTCTGATATTCTCACTCTTCTAGGTATGGAGCTGGAAACTAGAGGTATGGGAGTAGCAGATGAGGTATCAAGAGCTGAGCCGTACCAAACATTCCACAGGAAAAATGTTAAGAATTATGGTATTACCGAGGAGTAGTGCAGAGGATGAAGTATGGTAGTGACGCCGTATGGCGGGTGCGCGCTACTGCAAGTGAGGACGACACGACCATTTAACAATACGTTAGTCAGCTCTGCAGAGAGCAGTGGCAAGACTGGCTAAAATTAGGATTCCTACTTATCTTAATTTAAACTTAATTATTGATTTTGAAAGGGTCATAACTTTTGCGGCCATAACTTGCTCATTATGTTTAAATTATTTCAGGATTACCACCATTGTAAATTGGACAAATGTAATTATCATTTTTTTGGGGTGATAAAATGCACATAATTGCGGACTTATAACATTTTAATAGTAATTGGTTTATAGATTACTATTGTTTAAAAATGAAACATTTGCGAATCGTGAGAGAAGTTGAACAATGAACTTTTACTTACATCTTGGGAATGAGATCTCGATAATGAAACTGCTGAGGATATGCAAGGCTTATAATGATTATTATTTTTGATGATTTTCTTGTTTGTTGTTGCGAAATGTTTTGGTTTAGTTAAATACACGTCAGATTTATTAAAGAAATAATATCAATCATATTGTGATTAGAATAAAATTTGTTTGTTTACTCTTGACTAAACTGAAATAATTTAGTTTACCAAATTTTCCATCATTATTTTTTTATTGCATCAACTTATATTTAGCAATGAAACAAAAAGATTTGTATCAAAACGATTTGCGTTAAGAATTTTTTAGTTATTAGAATAAATTAGATAAAAAACGTTTATACCTTATCAGACTTTATTTGAACGGTCATTAATTGGACGCTGGAGGCTATAACGTTCATTTTAATGTCTGTTCAAATAAAGTCCGATAAGGTAGTTAAATTAAATACTGATTAGGAATGCTGTCGATCTTATTGTCCGGTCGAATAACGTCCGATAAGGTAAATAACTAAGCGTCTAAAATTTTGCCACAGTTCCACTAAAACAGAACTGAAAACCAACTTAATTAATAAATTAGACTAAAAAATGTATAAATAACTAAGTGTCTAAAAGTATGCTACAGTTTCCCCTAAAACAGAACTGAAAACCAACTTAACTAATAGATTAGATACTCTAGTAGCAGGGAGGGATTGAGTGTGCACTTCGATGTACAGAGTTTTTTGATACTGAATCGGGTTAATTAGGTCATTGGTAACTCAAATCACCGAGGGGCACATTTCGTGTCGCTAGTCCCAACCCTGTGGGGGCCACGCCCATATTTCACATTAGGCGCACATATGGGAAATATGTATCTCAGCTTCTGAAGGTCTTAGAGACTCAAACTTTGGCTTAAAATGACCGCAATGCACATATTTATATTGACACTATGAAGGGTATAAAGGCCCAAAATGCTTACTTTTGGAAAAAATCCAGAAAAACCGATTTTCACTGGGGCGAGAGTGAAAAAATCTACTCTAGAAGCTTATTGACATCGAGTATGCAGTTTGGTGTCTACAACTTTTCTAGAAACCAGGTCTTTTGTAAGGTAATTCTGGATCAGAATTGATAAGGTACGCAATTTCTATCAGTAATCCCAACCCTAGGGGGAAATTTCTAAATTACCCTCAGGCGCAAATATATGACTTTTGTATCTCGGCTTCTGAACGTTGTAGGGGCCTCTCTTTTACCTCAAACTAACTGCAAAGGCCACATTTATTTACAAGCTATAAAGCAACATAGGGTTTATAGTGCTTAGTTTTGGAGATATTCATTAAAAACTGTTTTAACTTTCGTGCATCCTAAATTAGTAACACATGTACTTAATTTTGGTATCCCGGGCTAAAAAAGTCTTACAGATACTTCACTTGCAGCACAGCAAAATGTTCAGCATGAAAACATTCAGATAATATTTATGGAGCAACACAATTCAGTTTCAGAAGCTCCTTCCAGCTATCTTATCTTATCCACAAATGTATACATCTAACCATCTCTCTGGTTACTTCAAACCACTTCAATCCCCAAATTTATACATGAAAATCTAACTATCTCGTTATATCTACCACAAGTTGGGCTCTCTCCTGTACTGTTTGGCTGTTATGGCTAATCACCTCCAATCTAACCTCATGATGTAGAATCTCCTTCTAGCTACCTATAATTCTGCTACTTCCATGTCATGCCTATTCTACACAGCTACCACCAGCACGTTATAATTCTAGCTCTTTCTAGCAACCTCTGAATGCTACCTCCTGCTCTATACAGGTACCACCAGTGGGCAGAAACCACCAACTACAGCTCTTTTCACTTACTTTGGCTACATCTATTTAGCTGCTACTGCAAGGCCCCCTGGCCCCTCCAACCTCTGCTCTTTCTAGCAAACTTAACTTAAGCTACCTCTTGCCTTTTATAACACCACCAGCAACAATTTATTCTGGCTCTTTCAGGCTGCCTCAGCTGCATTCAACAATTTCTAGTTAATTGAGGAAGAGGAAACCTGCTATTTCTAGCAACCTCTGAATGCTACTTCCTGCTCTATCTAGCTTCCACCAACACCCACTAATTGTTGTTACTTGTTAAGCTACCACTAGCACCTGCAAATTATAGCCCTATCCAGCAAACTCAGACTACATTATGCTATATCCAGATAGCACAAGCACCTAAAGTTCTAGCTGGAGCCTGGAGGTAGCCTGAATTAGGTAAAACAGATAGAATTTGAGAGTGCTCATTTAGCTGAATAAGGATGGATGTAGCCCAAAGTAACTAGAAGAAGCTAAAATTTGTGGGTACCGTTTGCTAGTGTTAGCTGGATAGAGCAGAAAGTAGTCTGAGGTTGCTGGATAGTGCTAGAATTTGCAGGTGCTGGTGATAGCTGTTTGTTTGTTTGTTTGGGGACCGGTTTTTGGTACACCGGCCAATGAGCTGCAGCTGAACAGAGTAGGAGTAAGTCTGAGGTGCTGGATAGGGCTAGAATTTGCAGTGCTAGTTGTAGCATAACAACAATTATTGGGTGTTGGTGGAAGCTAGATATAGCAGGAAGTAGCATTCAGAGATTGCTAGAAAGAGCTAGAATGGAGGTAGCAGAATTGAAGGAAACTAGAAGTAGATTCTACTACATGAGGTTGGATTGGAGGTAATTAGCCATAATAGCCAAACAGTACTGAAGAGAGCCCAACTTGTGGTAAGACCGGGATCCCGGCTTAATCCCGGTCCCGGTCTTAATCCCGGTCCCAGCACTTTTTCCCAGTCCCGGTCAAAAAAGCAGTCTCGGTCGATCCTTGGCTTTAACGAGATGGAAGCAACCAGAGGGATGGTTAGATGTATAAATTTGGGGATTGAAGTGGTTTGAAGTAACCAGAGAGATGGTTAGATGTATAAATTTGGGGATTGAAGTGGTTTGAAGTAACCAGAGAGATGGTTAGATGTATAAATTTGGGGATTGAAGTGGTTTGAAGTAACCAGAGAGATGGTTAGATGTATAAATTTGGGGATTGAAGTGGTTTGAAGTAACCAGAGAGATGGTTAGATGTATAAATTTGGGGATTGAAGTGGTTTGAAGTAACCAGAGAGATGGTTAGATGTATAAATTTGGGGATTGAAGTGGTTTGAAGTAACCAGAGAGATGGTTAGATGTATAAATTTGGGGATTGAAGTGGTTTGAAGTAACCAGAGAGATGGTTAGATGTATAAATTTGGGGATTGAAGTGGTTTGAAGTAACCAGAGAGATGGTTAGATGTATAAATTTGGGGATTGAAGTGGTTTGAAGTAACCAGAGAGATGGTTAGATGTATAAATTTGGGGATTGAAGTGGTTTGAAGTAACCAGAGAGATGGTTAGATGTATAAATTTGGGGATTGAAGTGGTTTGAAGTAACCAGAGAGATGGTTAGATGTATAAATTTGGGGATTGAAGTGGTTTGAAGTAACCAGAGAGATGGTTAGATGTATAAATTTGGGGTTGAAGTGGTTTGAAGTAACAAGAGAGATGGTTAGATGTATACATTTGTGGATAAGATAAGATAGCTGGAAGGATCTTCTGAAACTGAATTGTGTTGCTCCATAAATATTATCTGAATGTGTTCATGCTGAACATTTTGCTGTGCTGCAAGTGAAGTATCTGTAAGACTTTTTTAGCCCGGGATACCAAAATTAAGTACATGTGTTACTAACTTAGGATGCACGAAAGTTAAAACAGTTTTTAATGAATATCTCCAAAACTAAGCACTATAAACCCTATGATGCTTTAAAGCTTGTAAATAAATGTGGCCTTTGCAGTTAGTTTGAGGTAAAAGAGAGGCCCCTACAACGTTCAGAAGCCGAGATACAAAAGTCATATATTTGCGCCTGAGGGTAATTTAGAAATGTCCCCCTAGGGTTGGGATTACTGATAGAAATTGCGTACCTTATCAATTCTGATCCAGAATGACCTTACAAAAGACCTGGTTTCTAGAAAAGTTGTAGACACCAAACTGCATACTCGATGTCAATAAGCTTCTAGAGTAGATTTTTTCACTCTCGCCCCAGTGAAAATCGGTTTTTCTGGCTTTTTTCCAAAAGTAAGCATTTTGGGCCTTTATACCCTTCATAGTGTCAATATAAATATGTCCATTGCGGTCATTTTAAGCCAAAGTTTGAGTCTCTAAGACCTTCAGAAGCTGAGATACATATTTCCCATACATGCGCCTAATGTGAAATATGGGCGTGGCCCCCACAGGGTTGGGACTAGCGACACAAAATGTGCCCCTCGGTGATTTGAGTTACCAATGACCTACTTAACCCGATTCAGTATCAAAAAACTCTGTACATCGAAGTGCACACTCAATCCCTCCCTGCTACTAGAGTAAGATTAAAAGTTTATAAATAACTAAGCGTCTAATAGCATGCCACAGTTTCCCCTAAAAGAGAACTGAAAACCAACTAAGCGTATAATAGTATGCTACAGTTTCCCCTAAAACAGAACTGAAAACTAACTTTACTAATAAATTAGATTAAAAAGTTTATAAATAACTAAGCGTCTAAAAGTATGCTTCAGTTTCCCCTAAAACAGAACTGAAAACCAACTAAGCGTCTATTAGTATGCTACAGTTTCCCCTAAAACAGAACTGAAAACCAACTAAGCGTCTATTAGTATGCCAGCAATGCACGCAGTCATCTGGCACGCCACTGTTCCTGCTAACATGGAACTAAACACCAACTTTGCCAAATCAGACTTCCTCTCCGGAGCCATAACAGACAGAGCCCCCAGTTGTATCCCCATAGACCCGATATTCCCAAACCCACACAGAGCATATGTCATCAACACGTGGGTTCTCTGAGTAATCAGCCCCGCGCTGACCTTAGCAGAGAGGGTGGAGTACGCCACGTACTCATTTATGAGAATCTTGGTAGCTAGCAGCTCTCCAGCGTGCTGACACTGGTCCTCTTCTATACCTAGCATCCACGCAAACGGCACGAAGATATACCCAATCAGCTCTGTGAAGGTGATGTCCCAGTTGACACACAGGGCAAGGTAATGGAACCAGGTTTGGAAGCAAGCGTAGAATGAGATGAATGCTATCAGGATCACTACTATGTTGAGGCACAACGAGATGGACTTTGATGCTCCGTCCGTTGCTGCCTCGATGAAATTCTTCGAGTTTTCCATTTTCGGCATTGTAATCTTTTTCCCTGAAGTGTAATTGCTTTGTTCCCTCTCAGGATACACCAGCTTGGAAATAGCCAGAGCAGCAGGACAACTCATCACAGATGCAGCTATCAGATGTTTGGCAGGCATCCCCATTCCTATGTAAGCTGCCATAACCCCACCTGCTATAGTTGCAAACCCACCCGTCATAACCGCGTGTAACTCAGACTTTGTCATGTTTGGGATGAACGGTCGGATCATGAGAGGAGCCTCCGTCATCCCCACAAAGATATTTCCAGCTGCTGAGAGAGACTCAACCACGGAGGTCTGCATTGTGTAGAACATGATTTTACTGATCCCCTGGATGATGACTTGGAGCACTCCCAGGTGGAAGAGAATGGAGACCAGCGCTGAGAAATACACTAAGACAGGTATAAAGATACTGAAACACCAGATAGCGTACCCCCACCTGTGCTCATCTGGAACATCCCCTTCGTACGCACCATTCATCACAACCTCTCCAAACACAAACACACCCCCTTTCCTTGCGTAGCTCAGGAAAATAGTGGTCTTATCACCCACAAAGTCGAACAGCTGCTGACCAGGACTGGTTTTGAGGATCAACATGGCAAACACATACTGCATACCCAAACCCCACAGCACAGACCTCCACC